AGTGACATTTTCTTCACTGAGCACTCTCTGGGAAATCTTTTGAAAGAAATGTCCTTGTGCTACCACAAGTCACAGAAACACACAAGGAAAAGGAAACAAGCTTGAACAAAAAATCTAAAGATTCTCCTACAGTCTTGAACAATTTTTTACAGAGATCTACTGTAACTAATCTAAATTCATATGTGCAAAGACATCTTCCCTCTCCTCTAGTGGTAATCAAACAGTAACAGGGCTTAAGTAACTTCCTCTGTACCTTGGCTAGGAAGTGTGTGAGGTAAATCCATGCTCTTCTCTTTATTTGAAACAAATCATGAGTCATTATCTCCATGATTTCTGCAATGCACACAGATTCATCATACACCACATATATTCCTGTATCTAATATTCTGTGGAGCCAAGTCTCTGCTACGTTATATTGGACGTTATTGGAATTAAATACTTAGTTTTCTAGTTCTAAACCATATATTTCACTGATGGATCTAGGAGAGATTGGAGGGCTTACTTATATGAAGCAATAGAGGAGTTCACCTCCTACTGTGCTGCTCACTAACTAGTCGTGGCACTTGCAGTTTGGAGAGATAAACTGAAGAACAACCACTGACATCTCATCCCGATCCCTTGCTAGGTGTCTGCTCACGTCAAGCAACGCTCCTACCAGGTATTGCTTGCACCTGTGATGGCTAAAACTCTTCACAGTCCTTTACATGGGATGAGAGTGGACTTACCCACTGGCAAACATGTCCAGTGCTGACACATGGAGCTTCTCCCGCTCAGTCAGTGGCTGCGATTTTGAAAGTCTCATCATCGTTCTCATCGCACTGTCCAGCTCTTTACTGAGTCGCACTGAACTTCCAGTGCCAATCAGCTCCAGACCATTAGCGATGACATGTCCCATTGCTATGGAAAAGAACACATTGCAACTTGAGCTGTACAGCACTGCATGTAATTCATCCCTATGTAAAAATGAGGGCGAGTTGTTGGTCTGTTTGAAACAAGACTTGTATTCACAGTGATAAGGGAGGTTTCAGAAGCCTAAAGTTTTTACAGCCTTTCATTATAACCATTCACAAAGACTTGAAATGAAAAGGGAAAAAAAACCCACACAAAACCATCCCAGTCTCCTCTAAACTCTGAAGAAGTTTTACAGAATTCTACAGCCCACCATCTCCCACTGGCCTAAGCAAAGCCAGGGAAACACCACGGCACAAGGTATTAGCCAGCACTTCCCATGCAAAGAATTCCAGGCTCTACTTACTGAAATTTGGATCTGCTGCTTTCAACTTGGACAGACACCCCTCAAGACCTCCCAGGCTCTCATTGTTGGTCCAGGTTGCATACTGTAAGAAAGGGAGAGAGAGGCTTGAGGAAGCCCAAATACTTGGGGCTTCTTTTTGTCCTCCATGTTTGTAAAATCCAAAAGCAAGCAAGACAAATGAGTAAAAGACAAACTTGCCATTCAGAGAGTGTTAGTGCAGCAGGAAAAAGGACAAACCGTTTCCTTTAAAGTAGGGTGGCTACCAGCAGAACAAGCAGAACAATGCATTTCTATGGGTTGATGTCAACTGGTTGATTCTCCCATGTCAAGCAGGAGGGACACGCTGGCTGAAGCATCCCCC